ATTATTGGAAGGGTGTGGGTGTGGGGTGTGGGTGTGGGGTGTGGGTGTGGGTGTGGGGTGTGGGTGTGGGTGGGTGTGGGTGTGATGCGAAGAATAGAGACAACCACACTGACCCACCCACACCCACACCCACACCCACACCCAGTTCAAATCAGTCCTGTACCGGAGAATAAATCGAATTCGAATTCAACAGATGCGTTACTTTCACAGTCGGCTCAACAACTTTTGTTTGACGTAAGATTCTTGTCGGTAATATTGACACTCATTTTACGATTCATAATATGTAGGCTGCAGCTGCACCAGATGAGATAACGGCTAATAAAGTCTGGGAATGTTTTGAACGACGAGTCAAAAAAGATCATTTGAATTCCATTGAGATCAAAAATTTAATAAAAAATTTGGATGAACAGCGTCAATGGTCAGCGTTACATTATGCCGTGTGGAACAAGAATATATTTGTATTCGACAAACTAACAAACAAGTCTGGGAACGATAAAAAATGGCAATGTGGTACGTACAATAGAATTTTTAAAAAAATCAAAAGTCTACAAGCAGTGTCGACCATGCTCATTTAGATGTTAATATTCTCGGAGGTGAAGGTGAAAGTGTGCTTCATGTCGCGATGAAATCAGAAAAAATTTGGGTGAGGAAATTAAGAACAACTTTTTTTCATTTTCTTTCTATTAACATCTGTCGGTTAGGACATAGACTGAAGTGATGTTAGCCTACCTCATCTTATAGAGGAGTTAATACAACTTCGTGTGAAAATCGAACACAAAAACAATCAAAGATGTACTCCACTTCATTTGGCTGTATTCTATACTCGTTCAAGTGCAGTCAATAAGTTGCTTTCTTGCAAGCCCAGCGTGATCAAGGTAAGTAAAAGACCATGCACGTTCCAATATTAGGAAGTTACGAATTGTTCTTCGAATTTAAATTTTTCTCAAGATGGTCAACAAAATAAATGCAAACGTTTTCCATTTTGTCTTCATGCATGATCATACCTCTATGGAGATGCCACAACCTTTCCATTCAGAGAGGAAACATACTTGTGACGATTTTTTCTCACGACAGAAAAGATTGGATGATATATTCGATAACTTACGCAATTATGCACCAGAAGAGTATCGATCATGGCTCATGCAGTCACGTACAATGGAAAATCGAACTCCACTTGTCTATGCCATTTGTAATCCATACAGTGCCAAATACCATATTGACAAATTGCTTGAAGTAAAGCATGTTGAAATGAACGATCTTAATGATCAAGTTTATGAAGCCTTGAAAGTGGCTGCGGAAAGGCAATTCGAAGACTTGAAGATGATATCATATTTAGTCAACGAAAAAATAGAGCCAACACAATCTAATCTTACCAAGGCATTAAATGCAGTTGTTCGTTAAAACGCTGAACAATTAATAAATCTGGTTCTTAATATTTGCAGAGGTCCATCGGAACATGTCGACATGAACTCAATATTACTCACGACAATCCACTATGGTGCCGAAAAATGTGTCAAACACTTACTCAACCAACATGTATGTACAAATACCCCAGATCTTACAAGAGAATGCCTGTTGCGAATAGATAGCTCGATGAAAAATTTTATGATAATTATCAGTTATATTTTTTCAATAAAAATTTAAAAGACATACAGATGTTCAAAACAGTATCCCATCAGGTGATCTTATTTTTTCAATATTGTCTTTTATTCAGTAACAGCACGTGGTACGCTATCGGATCCCATGAACGGATATTCTCAAACGTCTTCTCTTCTATTTGTGAGGATGAACTTTCAAATTCGTGAATGGAATTATCTGAGAGAGTTTCAGAATACTTAAACAATAATCGTCTTTTTCGAAGGGAGAGAGCTGATCTCTACGATTAGAGGTCGAGACAAAGATTGCTTAATCATGCAGCCAATACCTAACTCAATCGGTTGACGTATGATTCAGAAAGTTCAGCGTGAAATGGATCCACAGTCATGCCAGCGAGTCAGTTTTGTATCATTTTTTCTATTCGGAAAAAAACGGGTATTGTTAAAGGATGGATGTGGATGTAGATGGAAGGCAGGTCTTGGTGTAGGTAAGGTGTAAATATGGATATAAGTGTCAATACGGGTGTCATGCGTGGATGTGGATCTTGCATCCATCCTTACCCACACCCACATACAGATTGTCTTCCTACATGGTGGCAATAAAATAAGCTTACAAGCAGGAGTAATGACTTTTATTCTGTGTAGAGAAATTTTACTTGGTATGATGCTTAGAATCTGGTCGGCGAAAAACATTTCTAGTTTTTGGAAGATTACATAGAACCCTGAAGCAAAACTTGAATAATAGAATTAATAAAGGGTGGTACACAGTTATACTAAGTAGTTAATTTTTAAATTCAAGATTTGAGAATGCCCATTTTTGAAAAAACAAAGCATAATAGTATTTCGCGTGCTTACAACAGCTACAGTCGAAGATTGATAGGGCTGTATGACAATTTTCCACATAATTTCGTTGACCTGTAATAATGCAAGCAATCGTTAGTGAGAAGTAAATCTCGCTAAGTTCATTAACATTGTTTTCTTTCAACATAACAGGAAACCAACACGCAGCCCATCATAGCTGTCAACAACGATGGCGAGACTGAGTTACATGTTTGCGTCAAACGAATGGTCCAACAGAATATTTTTGGTCTCATATGGAATCATCTAGATGGTGATACAAAAAATAAACTTGTCATGACGCCAGACATTGAAGGCAATTTACCTCTTCATTTGGTGGCTCGCTCGAACTATTCAAAGTACATTTGTGAACGCTTTGTTAAAGATCTCGATACTCCTAATGACATACATAATATGATATCACACAAAAATCGTCAAGATCGAACAGCTCTTCATGAAGCAAGTGAAACTGGTTGCCTCGAAATATTTAAATGTTTATGGGAAAATATTAGCAATCCTTCGAAAGGCCATTATGAAGCAATCTTGATTCCGAATAATAGTCCAATAACATGTCTCCATTTAGCTGCAGCTGCAGGTAAGATTCACAGAATTCGTTTGAGAAAACTGTTGAGTTTCTTTTCCAATAACTCGTAGGTCAATTTGAGGTAGTCCACTTTCTTCTCGAAAAGTTTCCGTGTGGTCTAAATCGAGTTGATACCTATCAACGTACTGCACTTCATTTGGCTTGTCAATACGGTCATAAGAACATTGTCGAATATTTGCTCAAACAACGAGCATTGGTTACATTACGTGACTATCAACTTTACAATTGTCTCGAAGTTGCCATTGTTAATCATCATCAAGATATTGTCGAGATTCTCCTTGCACATGAATCATGGCATGACATGATGTGCAACGCTCAACCAATTGAAGATACATGTGCATACGATACTCCTATGCGAAAGTTAATTCGACACATGCCATATATCACTGTTGAGCTATTGACTAAAAAATTGACACGAGTAGTTGGTGGAAAAGACCAACAAGTGTTCAAGACAATATACGATTATGAATTCTTTGAAGATGAGTTTAGAGTCAAAAAATGGCATCTTCAAAGTATTGTATGTTACAAAAAATGACATTTTACAAAGCTCAAATAGGATTTCTTCAGGAGGATAATCGAAAAGAGTTTTTTTGTAAAGTCTGAATAAGTCGACAGTAGGTTTGAATCTTCTTGTATGAGAGAGAAGTAAAATCCTTAAAAGATAGGGATGCATAACAAAACTAATTTATCCGCTTATACGTTTCCACTGAAAACTATGTAGTCCTATATGAAACATCGTAAACAATCATTTGATACTATTTTCACACTAAATAGATCGTATTTGTGATCACTTTAAGACATATCGAAAATCTTTTGAAACTATTTCATAAGCATGCCGGAATAGCGACGATATTTTGTCGATATTTCATGAATACTTTGACGAATTGAGTCCATCAATTCACCATTAGAAAGACCTCATAAAATTGTATCGAACTCTATAATAAACTGTAGTTGCTTATATAGTAATAAATCTTTCTAAAAAAACTTTGCATTACCTGCCCAACACTGTCGTAGAAACCTAGGAAATTTTTTTTTCATGCACTTGACATGTGCATACCTCAAGAAGTGACTTTGTCTCATGAGTTTCTTTCCTGAAGAAAGTTAAGAAACTCATGTGCATAATAAAGAAAAGTATATGTCTATGGAAGTCATAGACACTATATTATGCCGTATTTCAGAAATTGTAGACAATATGAAACCGCATCTAACAATTGTCACTCGATAGCTCTTGTAAAACTCTACACAATAGCACTATTCTATTGTACTGAATTGCATGAAAAGGGAGTGGGTGTATATATGAAAACCCACACCCACACTTCACACTCATAACTATTATTACTGGCATTAATCAGTATGAGTTCCAAGTGAGGCTTTTTGGTTCTCATGGATATTACGTTACTATATGAAGTACTTTCCCATGCAACTCAGTTCAATACAATACTATTATTTTGTAATGCTTTAAAAGAGCTATTGGATATGTTATATTGTATCTTAATTTGCTTAAATTTGATTTTTGTTGGACATGACCTATTACATTATCAATGACTCTTAAGTTACTAAAGCCTTGCGCAGACCATGAAAAGTGTTCCTAGGAAGACCTATTAGCAAACAGTCAACAACTGATTCTTATCGAGTTTGATACAATTTGATGAGTTCTTTCTATTGCTGAATCAATGGACTCAATTTATCACAATATTATTCATGTCGCCTATTCTACCAGAGCTTCCTAGTTTGAGTAGATCTTACCGAATGATTCAATTGATTTTCATCAATTTCCATTGTACTCGACGCAATATAAAAATATACATCAAGTTTTTTTGTTCTATTCATGAATGACGATGAACCGTTCTAATTTTAGATGGGTATGAATATGACATACCCGATCCCGAGTTATATACGTGCTCAGATCGATGTGACCATCTCGGTGTTGAAGCGATATATGGCTGCTGCTGTGCTAGTTGCAAACGGAATACTGAAAACTCAACGTCAAGCAAGTCAAAGCCGTACACTAATGATTCATACACACTCGTTCGAAATCATCCTCTCTTCATTGCTTCTCAAGACGCAGCCCCCATAGATCTTATCTCGCATCCCTATATGACTGAACTATGCAGGAAAAAGTTTTATCGTTTCGGATTTTGGCTATTCCTTCTTTCATTTGGTTTCTATGCAAGTTTTGTGGCCGTATACACAGCAATTGTAACCCGTGGTAAACATCCAGACAAATTTTATTCAGATGCTGGCTATAATGCAAGCGTTGGTAGGAATGTATGTGAGTTAGTGGCTCAAACTCTTATCAACAATGCGGACGCACAAAAACCAGACGCTTATAAAAAAATTCGATGGGGTGTTTATATATTAATGTTGACCTATATTGCCAAAAATGCCTTTCTCATTCTAACTCTATTTCCTAGATTTCTTCGAGTGATTTCTTGCTATTTTGAACTAGCGGCATTCGTTCTTGCGTTTGTCTATATATATGATTGGTACAGCTGGTTAGTACCTGTCATGCTTCGTTGTTCAATTCAATTTCAACTTGGATTATTCGGCGTCCTACTGGCATGGATGAACTTGCTCTTCTATGTTCAATACATCCCCATTTTTGATATAGGAATATACGTTGTCATGCTTCAATTAATCTTTGTCAAGTTTTTACGCTTCCTGCCTGTTTTAGCGATTATTATTTGTGCTTTCGGTTTTTCATTTTGGATGTTACTTTCAACGCAAAATTCATATGCAACAACTGGTTTGTCATTCGTTCGCACAAGTATAATGTTATTCGATTTGGGCTACGAAGATCGAATATTTGGAGCTGATAGTGGAAATATTGGTCGCTATGGATTGATATATTTCATGTTTATACTTGCGGGCATCGTATTGCCTATTTTTATTGTCAATTTGATGATCGGTAAGGTTACATCTGAGCATGTTGCTTTCTGAACATGCTACATTGTAAAAAACTTACGATCGCTTGAATTCATTCGTATTCTGTATCTTTTTAAGGTTTGGCTGTGGGAGAACTTCCATCATTAAAAGACCAAGGAACATTGTGGTTCTATCAAGTTTGGTTCAGTCTATTGTCCGACTACGAAATACTTCGTCTACAGATCAGACGCTTTCTTGGAATGTTATTTTTTTTAATTGTTGCCGAACATGAGAAGAGTCAAAATGCTTTTGCCGCTTCGAGCGACGCCCACACACTCTTTTAGTATGCGACAACAATAATCAAAAATGGCACAACATTGCAAATCATTCCAATAAATGGTGGGGCAAATTTAATCAATATTTTTTGGAAGAAGAGATTCAAGAGCCTGTAGAATCACCTGTGCCAAAGAAGAAAGACAATGTGAAGGATACGAACAATGTTTAAAATCAAACTGAACATTTTCTTTAAAAGCTTTTCATTTCTTATGTTTCATCTCTAACCATTGAACATTGCAAAATCCCATTGACATGTGTATTCATTATTCATTATAAGTGATTTCATCATTCAAATTTTTCTACGAAAATCCAGAAAGGACTATTAGCATACAAAATTGCAGTTATTAATCAACATTTCACTATAATGAATGTATAAAAGACTGTGGGTGTAGATCTGGAATGTGGACAGGGTGTGGATGTGGGCGAAGGTTTAGAGTACATGTACTCACATACTCTCACCCACACCCACACCCGCATCCTTAATTTAGGAAAATGAAATGAACAAGAGAATAAAACTTTACGTGCTAATAAAGCTGGAGAAGAATTCAATTATTTAGATAGTTGTAAAAGGATATCTATCTTAGTCAAAAGTTATTGCACGTTTATACCTAATAGTTTACAATGCTTTATAAGAAATTTCAGTGACTTTATCAAAAAATAAAATAGAAACTTATTTTCATTAAATCAAACAATATCAAAACGAAAAAAGATAGTTAAAAATTTGAAAAATGAACTCTCGAATAATTTTAAAGAGCTATTAAATCAAATGGATAAAGTAAAACATACGCAACATACGAAAGCATTAAACGTGAAACGATCGAGTGAATAAGCATTCAGTAGATTAGATTAGTTTTTAGAATGTGAAAAATATTTGATGACCTGACAAATGAGAATTTTTCTGCTAATTAACAAAGAAACAATAGCAATATTTTATCAATTACGAGAGAGCATTCTCAAGTGATTCGCTCGCTTTGCCTTCATATTATACCCATAGCTATGGAACATAGTCTTGATAAAAACCCTAAAAGAGTTCATACCAGTATGCGTTTCTTCTCGAGTTATGACGATTTAATGAATTTTCAGCCTATCACAGAGTATTATAGTAAAAATCTCAAATAAATTCCTATTTGAAGATTTTCTCCATAATAAATCTCATAGTCCTTATTATATCCTAAAACTTTCAGCTCAAAACAATGGTTGCTTTCCGAAATAATGCATTTGAAACAAATACTACTTTCTGAGAAGACCTGCGAAACTAATTGATTTTTGAGATACCTCATATCTTAAGAAAAACTGATTCGTTTGAGCGAAAACTTTCAGGATATAATAAGGACTATAAGATTTATTATTGGGAAATTTTTCTAGAAAGAATTCCTTGTGGAGATTTTTTTCCTTAATACTTTGTGATAGACTAAAAACTCAGTAAAATCGCCATAACTTGAGAAGAAAGACACAATAGCACGAATCCTTCTAGAGTTTTTACCTACACTATGATCTTCTACCAATGGGTATAATATGAAGGCAAACGGAGCGAATCACTTGAGAATGTTCCCTCATCAGTGAGTTGTTTGATACTTTTCCTGACCTATTTCATAGTGCACCCACGCTTTCGATTGAATTCTGTCGATATTGTTGTATTACACAAGAATTTTGGTTCTCTGATTCATTTTACGGAATTGCACATCTATACAATGCGTCATAGAGAGCATCGTAAAAAAAACCTTTTTTCTTCTGACGAAACGAGATTACTTAATAGCATGTGTTATCGATGAAATTTTATGACTCAAAATGGTGACTGATAATGACAGTAGCTTGACATATATATATATATATATATGTATGTATGCATTCGTTTAAAAACACATCAAAATATCGAGAATGTTTCCTGTCCCAGCATCTGCTAGAAGTGAACGGCTGTGTTCGAATGATGTTCTTTCATGGAAATTTCCAATATCGATTGGTCCATATACCTTACTGGGTCGTTCAAGAGCAGCTGATGCGACGAGTTTCTATGTTCCTGAATTGGACATGTTGCTTGATTGTGGTTGTTTAGTAACAGGAGCTCGACCACTTTACGTATTTATTACACATGGACATTTAGATCATTGCCTTGATATTACACGATTATTGAGTAACCCTCGACCACCACAAGTTTTTCTTCCTATATCAGCTGTACAACCGATGAAAGATTTCATTGAAAAAAGTCACATTCTTCGAACAGCTGGTAGAATAGATATAGATCAGCAAAAACTGACACTCGATTGTGAATTAAACGGTGTTGAACATGATGATTTATTTTCATTTCGAAAAACAATGAAAGTTCGTGTATTTGAT